TTCAGTGATAAAGGAAAATCAGCTGCCAACATGGTCTCTACGGGAACAAGTCTTAATCAGAAGATAGTGAAGGACAAAGGCCAAGTATCTCTAAGTCACGAGCAATATTCTCAGCTGATGGCACTCCTCAAACCAGCAACCAATTCTCAAAATTCCATCCCTGCATCAAACAATGTCCAAATCCTTGCCACAACTCTCCCATCTGATGAAAGCAGTCACAAAATGTCTGGTATATCTCTATCCTTATCAACACTTTACCACGAGCAACGAAACAGGTCTGAAGCTCCATGGATCCTTGATTCAGGAGCAACAGATCACATGATTTGCTCTGCCTCTTATTTTACATCCATCCATGCTAATGTGTCTTACTTTGTGACCTTACCAAATGGAGAAAATGTCCTTGTCACACATGTAGGAATTGTCAAAATTTCAGATTCTATCATTCTTCATAATGTCTTTTGCATTCCTAGTTTCACTTTCAATTTAATTTCTGCAAAAAGACTTACTCAATCACTAAACTGCTGCCTTGTTTTCTTCTCTGATTACTGCTATATTCAGGACCTTTCGACTTGGAAAATGACTGGAATGGGTGAGGTGAAGGATGGACTATATCATATGCTGAAAGGACCAGCTTCTTCTTTAGCTTTTTCAAAGGTTCTCAAACAAACCAAGTGTTCTCTTTCTGCATCTACTACAAATAAAAATGAAGAATTTGATTTATGGCACTACCGATTGGGCCATTCTTCATATTCCAACTTCAATCCTAATAGCAATATTCACATCACTTCATCTTCCAAAAACAACCCCTGCATCATTTGCCCCTTAGCAAAACAACACAAGTTACATTTCAATGTAAGTCATCACAAAGCAAGGAAATGTTTCGAATTAATTCATTATGACATTTGGGGGCCTTGTAATAAATTAAGTAGAGATGGATCTAAATATTTTTTATCCATTGTTGATGATTTTAGTAGATGCACACGGATTTATATGCTAAAACTAAAGTTAGATGCCACCAATGCTTTGCAAAACTTCTATGGAATGATAGAAACTCAATTTGAAGCCAAAATTAAAACTATTCGAACAAATAATGGAGATGAGTTCAACATGAGTAAATTTTATCTAAAAAAAGGGATAATGCACCAAAGAATTTGTGTTGAAACACCTGAACAAAATGCTGTGGTTGAAAGGAAGCATCAACTTATTTTGAATGTGGCAAGAGCCTTGAGGTTTCAAAGTGGGCTGCCTTTAAAGTATTGGAATGATTTTGTCCTTACAGCTGTATACCTCATAAATAGAATACCAACCCCCATTCTAGATCACAGAAGCCCCTTTCAAATGCTTTTTCAAGCCAAACCCAACTATGATCACCTAAGAGTATTTGGATGTCTTGCCTTTGCCAACACACTTGTCAATGGTAGGCATAAGTTTGATCCTAGGTCTAAGAGATATGTCTTCATTGGTTATCCATTTGGAGTAAAAGGATACAGATTGTTAGACCTAGAGACCAACAAAGTGTTCATCTCAAGGAATGTCAATTTTATGAGAACATCTTTCTTTGCAAAAATCTTGAATTCAACACTTCTTTGTCTGACTTTGATCACCTCAGTTTCACACAAAATCTAAGTCTCTCAAATGATCATGTCATCTCCCATCTCAATGGTACTGATCATCACGCTAATAATCAAACAGATTCATTCATGTCTGATATTGCAGAATGCCCAGAAATCTCCAACTCCAATATAGAAATTAGCCATGATGCCACACAACTCCCCAGTAATACTTTAGAACTAAATCATCCTGTTGCAACACACTTACCTCGCAGGATTGGAAGAATTCGAAGGGCTCCTTCTTACTTGCATGACTTCTTATGTCAGCAAGTCTCCTCATCTCTCCCATCTCAGAAGTTGCACAAGCAAAAGGAAATGAATAATGCAGGTAACATCTTCCCTCTTAGTGATAGAATCTCATATGATAAATTATCTACACCACATCGTGCTTTTGTAACTTCGATAACAAATCTTTCTGAGCCAAGAACCTATCAAGAAGCCATGACCTCTCCTGAATGGTGTGATGCCATGAAAGCTGAGATTAAAGCTTTAGAACTTAATGATACTTAGGTTTTGGCCGACCTACCTCCTGATAAGAAGACCATCGGATGCAAGTGGGTGTGCAAAATCAAATTCAATGCCAATGGCAGTATTGAAAGGTTCAAAGCACGCCTTGTGGCGAAGGGATACACACAATAGGAAGGATTTGACCATCATGAAACATTCTTGCCCGTAGCCAAGTTAGTGACTATCAGAACTCTATTGGCAGTGGCAGCAATCAAAGGATGGAATTTGTGTCAATTTGATGTGAATAATGCCTTTCTACATGGTGATTTGGACGAAGAAGTTTACACGGAGCTACCCCCAGGTTACTCAAAGATCAATGGCAAAAAAGTCTGCAAACTACGCAAGAGCTTATATGGATTAAAACAGGCTCCACGACAATGGTATTCTAAACTTTCCAATTTCATTATTGAGCAAGGTTTCGTGCAATCAAAAGCAGATTATAGTTTGTTCACTAAGTTCGCTGGTAGTTCTTTCACAGCAATTTTGGTTTATGTAGATGATATAATAGTGGCTGGAAACTGTATTGATACCATTAATGACCTTAAGGTCAGTCTCAATGACAAGTTCAAAATTAAAGACCTAGGAAAGTTGAAATATTTTTTAGGCATTGAAGTGGCAAGGTCTAAACATGGCATTCATATATGTCAAAGAAAATATGCTCTGGATATCTTGGGAGATTCAGGCACCATTGGTTCAGCTTCTGTTAGAATCCCTCTTGATCAAAATATAAAGCTTAGCAAGGATGCAAGAGAGTTGCTCACGGATCCATCGCTTTACAGGAGGTTAATTGAAAGGCTACTTTATCTAACAATTACCAGGCTTGATCTTGCGTATTCAGTTCAGCTACTAAGCCAGTACATGGATAATCCTAGGGTTCCACACCTACTGCTGCTCATAAAGTGTTGCGATATATCAAAAGGGCACGTGGACAAGGGTTGTTCTATCCATCAAACTCAAAATTGCAGCTGAAAGGGTATTGTGATTCAGACTAGGGAGCTTGTTTGGACACCGGGAGGTCAATAACAAGATATTGTGTGTTCATTGGAACATCCTTGATATCATGGAAATCAAAGAAACAACAGGTTGTATCACGGTCATTTGCTGAAGCGGAATACAAGGCAATGGCAAATCTTTGCTGTGAGTTAACTTGGGTCAGGTACTTGTTTAATGATTTATAGATCACTCATCCTCAAGCAACACTTCTAAATTGTGATAACAAGTCTGCAATTCATATAGCAACGAATCCGGTGTTTCTTGAAAGAACCAAACACATAGAGCTTGATTGCCACCTTATTCGAGATAAGATACAAGATGGCAGTATCATCACACAACATGTTACTAGCACATCACAAACTACTGTTATTCTGACCAAGGCTTTAAGTTCCCAAAGCTTTTATCTTTGTATGTCCAAGATGGGAGTAATGGATATATACTCACCATCTTGCGAGGGGCTGTTAAAGTTAGAGGATAATCCAGCTGGAGGAGCTCAAAGATGACCTGGCTGAAGTCTTGAGAGGATACAAGCCACATGAATTTCATAGCAGTAATAACAAGAGAATAGTCTAGAATAGATTTGTTATTGTACAGCTTGGATTTGTTACGTTTTCATTGCTATGTACTATGTGTAAGTTAGTTAGGAATAGATCTTTTTTTTGCTGTATATATACACTGCACTATTGTATATTGAAGAAATAGATTAATGGATTAAACATTCATTCCATTCTCAGATTTATCAAATACAATACATTCTCAAATTCATTTTTTTTTTCTTAAATCCAATATTTAGCTACAGGCAAGGAAATCACAAGAAGTTGTGGTCCTTGATGCTCATATTCTTCCAAAACATTTCTTTACCGCTAAAATTCAAGAAAAACATTGACTTTTGTTAATTAATTTACAATATTATCTCTATCACTTCTAAAGAAGAAGGAAAAAAGTTATTACCAATCTAATAACTAATAACTTTGCCCCAAATCATTTTCCGTCTTTTTCTTTTTTCTCTATTTGAAAATGTTCTAGAGAAAAGAACACAATCCATTCAGGAAATGTTTATCATGTTTTATTCCTCTTTCAATATTGTCTAATAGTGTATAATCTATTTTCCATATAAACTATCGGTTTTCGTCTCTTCTCAAGGGCCAAAGATTTTATTCTTTTGTTCGCCATTTTCGAAATTTCTCATCCCCTTAATTTAATTTTTTTGTTTTATTTTTTGTTTTCGAGTGTGAAATCATTTTGCTGCACTCCAGGGAGGAAAGAAGAAGAAGAAGGAACAGTACTTTCATAAAGATCAGGTAGCCCTACAGGGATTGAAGAATTCTCCAGCGCACCAAAGGAATAATAAAAAGGTATTGAGATAAAAACCGGATAATGGTGGTAAAAACAGTTAAAAGCAAACTCTAGTCTGGGGGGGGAAAAAAAAAGTATATGAGCTGACCAAAAATAGGGTCCCCACACGATGACCGAATCAGAAGAAAGTACAAAAAAAAATTAATAATAATAAAAAATAAAAATTCCTTTTTCTTGTGTCTTGTGAGAAACCTGAGACCTTTGAAACAAGAAAAGAAAAGTGACGAAACAGCTGTACTACAAAGTAATAACCAAAAACGCCTCCCGGAGCTTAATTTAGTGGTACAAAGGATAAGAGTGATGTTATCTCACGTCTTGATGGCAGCAGCAGTGTGGGGGTTCGATTCCTGAAATATGAAATTGAATTTCTTGTAGACAGGTAGCTCTTATTTTCTGACCTGTTGGAGCACATCTAACGATTTATCTTTCTTACAAATCTCTAGGGGCGGGACAGTAAAACCTTCAAGATTGAGGTTCAACCTTTTAAATAATAACCAAAAACAAACAGACTCTACCCCTTACTGGTTGTGTCGTTTACTTTAGAACAAAACAATGAAGAAACAGTAAAGACAAAAAAGTCAATAAGGGGTGGCCAAACCCCAATGCCTTTGGTCTCTTGGCAACCATTCTCGCCTGCACCATCGAATCTATTACACCCCGTTTACTCTTTCCTTTTTCTTGTTAATTTCTCCTTTTTAGTCTTTAATTATATCTTTCCTGTATGACGATTATTTTAGCAGCATAGTCAAATCATATTAATAGCCCTCATAATTTTTTCTTGATTTGGGGATTGGTGGATCGGTAAGTGGGTTTTTATTTGGGATTTCCATGTGATGATTTCGATTGTTTTCTTGTTCCTTGAAGAAAAATTGAATCTTGAATATGTTTCTTATTTCGGGTTGTTTTTTTATGGTCAAGATTCTCTCTTTTCCCCATGTTACAGGTTGTGGATTTTCAACTTTTAAGAAGTAAGAGGTAGATGTTGAATTGGAGAGGAGGGTGAGGTGGGGCTTCTAAATTATATGGATAAATTATGCTGTTTTCCTCAGGTGAGATTATTGTTAACCGCTGTGTTATTGAGAGATTTTGCCACTTCAGCTGAAATATCTTTGTTATATAGGCTTAGGCACAAATTTCTGGTTATCAATATCTAGTTTTTGTGTTTTTTTATCAAGTTTTCGTATCGTTTTTGCTGAATTATGCGGTAAGGTTGAATTTTGGTTGTAGTATAAATTCCTTGCCATGTCCTTGGGATCCTTAAAGTATGCTACGTGGTTTATGTTGGTATAGATGGGGGTTTATGATTTATGAGTTCATATATATTAAACAGAATATAAGTGAACGGACTATCAAAGAGAAACTGAGGAGGGAAGAATAGTTTGTTTTCATAAATGAGATTTGATGCTCGATTTGAGAATGAAATAGTTGTGAATACTTATTTGGAGTGGTTTAGAAGTCGAATAAGATACTCCAACCGTATGAATACTGTTTTGGACAGAAGCCCACAGGATTATAATTGGGTTAACAATTAACATGGTGTTAGAGAACGGTTTTGGTTTGTTTCTTGAACTCATGTCTGCACCTCTTGTTCTTGTCCCACAGCTTTGTACCATTGAAAATTCTTTCTGTTTGGACGATGCCTATGACTTACTCACGAAACTCCACAGACTTTAATGTGATTTTAACATTAGTTCTTCCCTATGAGTTTATGTTTATTTATTCCATTTCCCTGCCTAGAACTTGAGTAACGAAGGAATTAAGTTTGCTTCTTCAGTACGTGCATTGTTTTCTAGTTAGGTACTATTTGTTTATTCTATAAGTTCTGGTTAATTTCAAAATTCGAGCTCTTCTCTTCCTTTAGCTTGCAGGAGGACGTTCTTCATGCAGCTCTGGGAAGGGAAGAAGCCAGCAGGGACCTGTCAAATATGGATTCAGTTTAATAAAAGGAAAGGCTAATCATCCTATGGAGGATTACCATGTCGCTAAATTTTTGCACACGAATGGCCGTGAGTTGGGACTATTTGCTATTTTTGATGGACATCTGGGTGATAGTGTGCCTGCTTACTTACAGAAGCATCTGTTTTCCAATATATTAAAGGAGGTTGGTTACTCTATGACAATTAAGTTTATAGAAAACTTTTATATGTTCTATGGGTATTTCATATATGAAAGAAGAGTGGAGTTGATACAATTGATATAATTACTCCTGTAACTTTAAAATAATGGTGTGTTAAAAATGATTTGTTTTTAAGTTCTGAGAAAAAGGTGTCTAATTGATCTCCTCCCACCGCATGTTGAATCATACAGGACGACTTTTGGGCCGATCCAAATACAGCTATCGCCAAAGCCTATGAAAGGACCGATCAGGCAATTCTCTCGCATACTCCTGACCTGGGACGAGGTGGGTCCACTGCTGTTACTGCAATTCTTATAAATAGTAGACACCTGTGGGTAGCCAATGTTGGGGATTCACGAGCTGTCCTTTCCCAAAAGGGGCAGGCCACACAGATGTCTGTTGATCATGAGCCCAACACTGAGCGGGGAAGCATTGAGAACAGGGGTGGATTTGTCTCGAACATGCCAGGTATTGTGATATATGGATCAGTTCATGTTAGTCCTTGAAATTTATCGACTACTTATCCATGTTAATGATATTGCTGGAGGATTAACCCTGAGTTGCCAATGGCAGAAGTGTGACACCACCACAAAGATTAGAATAGTCTGCCGTCTTAGCACGCAATGATGGAAATATTTGCACATATTAGTATAGGTGGAGAACGTGTCATGTTAGAGCTATAATTATGCAGAGCTGTTGAGGTGATCTTGTACAGAATTTCTTTGATTTAATTACTTTGGCTATTTCATGAACTTCAACAGGAAATGGAAAGCCAATTTGTTGTGAGTACTCATTTATGACATACTTGATAATGAGGATTGGATGGTACTGAGCAATATATAGGAAGAAAAAGAAGCTAAAATCTTGTTTCATTATATTGTCCACTCCTCTTCAATATTGCGTACCAAACATGAACTCACGAGTTGAAAGGTTATAACATCTTTCAATATACAAATTAACTGGAATTATCAATGTTGATAGGGGTTACTGAGCAACATCATCACACCAAAGTGAATTTGAGTGCACACATTGCGGTGAACCTATTAAAATGTGATTAATGACGTTTGAAATATATATTTTGGGGGTTCTCCACCTGTTATACGCTATAAACTTGTCTGTGGTTTTAGGTTAAGCAATTTCAGAAGGCAGCATGCTTAGGTGGTGGAAACGTGGATTACTTGTTTGATAAATTAGGATATACATGATCACTCCGCCCATCCATTCTTCTACTAACCAACTTGGCGTTTTGAATGAAAAATCGCACTTTAAATTTTTAGCCAATATAATTTAATATAGTTTTTTTAATTCTTGTACTTTAGTTACATATTATTCACTTTTCAAGGTTTTCTCCTGATTAATGTGCATACTGAATTCATTTACTGGAGAAGACTCAATCTTGTGCTGTAATGTTTATTATTGGATTTCATTATTGTTCTTCTTAAACTTTTGGAAGTGATTAATTCATTGCTTTACTCCTCTTGTTGAAAAGAAGCATATTTGGCTTGGTGTATGAGTCATAATATTTTGGGGTATTCAAATCATAAAACCTGTTCTGATGCTTCTTGTACCAGGAGATGTTGCAAGAGTGAATGGCCAGTTGGCCGTTTCTCGTGCTTTTGGAGACAAAAACTTGAAAACTCACGTGCGGTCTGACCCTGACATTACAAACGCTCAAATTGATGGTGATACTGAACTTCTTATCCTTGCTAGTGATGGTTTGTGGAAGGTGTGTACTTGCCCCCACCTTTACTTGTCCCATCTCCTTTTCCTTGAGGATTCATTACCAACCCCCTCTTGAGTTCCTCTTGCTTGTGGATGCTCCAGGTAATGTCGAATCAAGAGGCCATTGATATTGTAAAGAAGATCAAAGATCCCCAGAAGGCAGCTAAACAATTAGCAATTGAAGCATTGAACAGAGAGAGTAAAGATGATATCTCCTGCATTGTTGTCCGATTCAAGGGGTAAAATGCACAATCTTAATGTTTCATGCAGCTGTTGTATATTAGGCGGTTACCAGAAGACATGATTTGGTAGGTTGCAGAAGTTTGAAATCCCAAAGAATCCAGTACAAAAATCAAATTTATTCTGAAAGGCCGTGAAAATGATCTGTTTCCTTTTCTTATATTTATTCTCTCTTATTTTCCAGTCTTCTTTGTAGAATTTCACTATAATTTTTTCATAATTCATAGCCGGGTTGTATTTGTAATAATCAAAATAGGACAAGCTTTCTTTCTTTCAGCCATATATCAAGAAGATGGCCATTTTGGCTTTGCTTCATTGTTTGTGTACTCTTTAAAGGATACAGATTACTAACCGTTCAGTATTTACCTCTGTTTGATAATTATTATTTCAAAATTTTTTAATTTTCACTCTCATTTTTAATCAT